ATGGTGGCGGGCGCCTGTAGTCCCAGCTACTCAGGAGGCTGAGGCAGGAGAATAGCGTGAACCCGGGAGGCAGAACTTACAGTGAGCCGAGATCGCGCCACTGCACTGTAGCCTGGGCGACAGAAAGAGACTCTGTCTCAAAAAAAAAATTTAAAAAAAAAGGAAATGAGGTGGAGTCATGGCTAAAGTGCAGCAAAAAAGAGAACAAAAAAATTTTTTTTAAGGAAATGAGGTCAAAAAAGCAACATGCATAACAATATGCCTAGTATGACTCTATCTATGTAAATAAAATGAGTGCTGAACCAGGCGTGGTGGCACACTCCTGTAATCCCAGCTACTTGAGAGGCTGAGACAGGAGAATCGCTTGAACCTGGGAGGCAGAGGGTGCAATGAGCCAAGATCGCGCCATTGCACTCCAGCCTGGGGCGACAGAGTGAGGCTCCATCTCAAAAAAAAAAAAAAAAAAAAAGTGTTGGAATATATATTATTATTATTTGTTGGATGTGATACACAAGAAAATGTTAATAATGAGACCGAGGTGGGATAGGGAGTGAATTGGGGTGAATTGAGGAGGGAGAACGTGGCTTTATATATTATACCATTGTGGAATGGTTAAAGTTTCATCATATGCCCATAGTACCTACATTTAGAAAAAAATACATATGTATGTATTTGTAAAGGAATGGAAGGGCAGGAGATGCTGACATAAGCCAGTTCCGGACTTCAACCATACCACATCCTTCTGTGCCCTGTGCTCTAGATCTGGGAAAACCCACTCAGCAGCTAGGACCCAGAAGAATATGGTGATATCAATAAACTCACTGTGACAACTGAGAACCCCTGGTTCCCAGACATCTTCATCATGGAATTGCAGGAGGGCTAGGGAAGCTGGAGGGAAGCCCTGTCTGCAAGGAACAGGCCAGGACAGTGCAGGGCAAACTCATTCAGTGCAGCCACTAAACACTTACTTCAGAGAGAAGCAAGATCACAGCTGATTAGCTTCTCCCCTAGAAACAAGAAAATGGCGGGCAGAAAAGATGGTGGCAGGTGAATTGCTTGAGCCCAGGAGTTTGAGACCAGCAAAACCCTGGTCTCTACAAAAAATACAAAAATCAGCCAGGCATGGTAGTGCACACCTGTAGTCCCAGCTACTCAGGAGGCTGAGATGAGAGGATCACTTGAGCCCAGGAGTTTGAGGCGACAGTCAGCTCTGATTGTGTCACTGCACTCCAGTCTGGGTGACAGAGCACAATCCTGTCTCAAAAAAAAAGGTAAATCCAGTTTTTTAAATACATTAAAAGAACA